GAAACAATTGTTTGTGATTACCGTAGTACTTTGTTGCTGACTGCTGCGATCAGTCAATTAACATAATTAATCACTTAAGGCAATTTCTTTTGGTTGTCGTCTGGTGACGAGAGTAGAGTCATCTAGGGATTTGTGGAGCTGTGTCCCAGAATCCCGCCTTGTCTGTCTTTGTTACTGTTTACAACAGTGCAACTTCTTGTTGGGAGTTGCAGAGAGTGTTCACACTGGGTTGTGATAGGGGGGGGGGGGGGTCACTGTTGGACTACCCTCCTAGTTACGTGGGTCTCTCCTGGGGGGCGGGAGGATCCCCAAGTTTGTGATTATAGTAGCTGTCAGGGAAACCGAGACACTATTGATTGCATGCTTGTGTCTTTGCCTTCAGTGGATATCCTTCATTTGTTCAGTTAGTTCATGTTGTCAGCCCGAAGTGTCAGCAAGATGGAGCCTGCTGTCACTTCTCGAGGGGCTGTTGAATAGCTGTGTTGCAAATGCCACTTGATGTACAATAACGTAACCATTCGCTGTGGTGTAACTTAGTCTGTGATATTTTTCTTTGATTTGCAATATTGCGTCATCAGTGGGCACACCTGGGTTCAGGTTAGTTCAGTATGCAGCCTCACAGCAAGGGTTGCTATTTAGCTGTTTGTTATCGTGCCACTGGATGGACATTAACGTAACGTAAACTCGGTAATGTAGTAGTTAGTCTCTTGTTATTAATAAATTGTTATGTTATAGAAAACGGTCTTTGATGTCAACCCTTCAACCATATTATTCCACCATATTTCTGCATATTATTAAATGTTGATGTGATCTTGATATGACGGCTGTTCTTGGGAATTCGAATTCCAATTCATAGCGCCACATCAGATATAAATATTTGATTGTGAGAACCCGTCGGTTACCCTTTATTAGTTTAAGGTCCTGTTTAACTAGGAGGAGCCAGCGGCCTATTGTGGACAGGTTTTCACCCTTAGTGGTGGAGGCCTGGCGGTTTGCTCCTGCTTTTCCTTTTTCTATTGGACTCATGCTTAACTGCCGTGAGCAGACTTTAAACTTGTAGTCCACCTCCTAAGGGAGGTAGGCGTAGAAAAAAATCTCACAGTGTGAGTCTCAGGCCGACAAACTGGCGCCTCTCAAATCCTTGTCTGTGACTCATGAACTATATATATTTTTAAATATAACTAAACCAAACACCTTACGGTGTTACAACTCAACACAAAGCTCCTATTAGAACAATATCTAACTCTGGCCCCAGATCTCACTCGGTACCCTTACTCAAATCTCTGAATATGTTAGATATTAAGTCACTGCACTTCCTCTCATGTGTATTTTATATATATAAAACGCTGAACTGTAATGTCAATCCGGACCTTAAAAGCTACCTAGAAGGTTGTAACAGATCCCATGAGCACCACACCAGAAACACCTATTTGATATTCCAAGAGTACGACTTAGTCAAACTAGAAATGCTTTGCAAATCAAGGGACCCAGAATGTGGAATGACCTTCCCAATTATCTTAAAGACTGTACCTCTCCCAACCAGTTTAAGATTAAAACTAAGTGCTACCTAATTAACTCAATGTAACCTACCTAACCTCTAAATGTCAACCCATGTCTACGATTTTATACAATGCTGTTTGTTGAGCAAATTGTAGTTTTCCTTTTTTTCTGCCATGTTTCCCCCCCCCCCCCTTTTTTATTTTTTTTCTTATTTTTTTAACACAATTTATATTTTAATCTCAATTACTATTAAATTTTAGTTTTAATGTTTTTCCTGCTCGAAACGCTTTGCGTAATAGTGGCTTTAGGCATTGTTTGTACTAGCTCTATCTATAAATCCATCAACTTTTATATTTTTCCCTATATGTATGTACTTTACCTGAATAGATATTTTTATTTGTATTTGTATTTGTATATTTAATAATCAACAAGCTCAGAGTCTGAATAGTCTGTGAGAAACAAGATTCATCTTACGTCTGGCAAGGAAGACGGAACCGAGGTATGAGAAACTCTGCATATAAACGTTATTGTTAATTAACTATCTGTCTCACATGATTATTTGGAACTTAATTTGACCTTTAGTTTCCAACTAAGAACCTAGGGTCGTAACAATACCTAAAATAGGAAATCGTTAAGTCCTAAATATATATCTGTTCTAATACTTGAAATATTGTTACATTCAACGTTTGAAAACAAAGTTTATATCAGTATTTTTAATAAAAAATAATACATTAATGTTTATCAGGGCATCTATGTGAATTACATATTTTATCAGTATTGTGCAGCCTGTGTTCCCTGCCTGGCTGGACATTGATGCAAATAGGTAGTTTCTTGTGTCTGGACACCGGCGATGGGGTGGTATTATTTATTTAAGGTAATATATATATTCTTTGAAATTTTGTCCCTTTAACGTGACAAAGGACATTTTTTAACGAAAAAAAAACTTTCGTTTATTACAGTATCTACATAAAATTTATATTGATCTTCATTGGGTTGTTGTTCCCATCAATAAAGAGAGCGTCGGCCAAAAAAAAATCTTCAAAATATAAATATCTTTCCTCTCTCAATAATATCTAATCTATGTGATTAAAACGTAAGCACGACTTTATCTATGCCATTTTGATAACATATAAAATTTATACAATCATAAGCTTTATTTGTGAATCTCTATTAATTAAACAATATATCAGAGAGTGTGTAGGGTTCGGTGTTCCATATATCAGAGAGTGTGTAGGGTTCGGTGTTCCATGTGCGAAGAGACATGGAAGATTTTACATAAGTACAGTAAATGGTAATTTAAGTAGCAAACATATACTTACGAATAATGATTAGTAACTATAGACCAACACTATTTTTATTTTTATTTTTTTGAAATATATACAAGAGTTGTTACATTCTTGTACAGCCACTAGTACGCATAGCATTTGGGGTAGGTCCCTGGAATACGACCCCCACGAAGAATTGTTGTTACAATCAAGTACCCATTTTACTGTTGAGTTAAACAGAGGCTACAATTAAGGATTTGCGCCCAGTAAATCCTCCCTGGCCAGGATACGAACCCATGACAAAGTGCTCATGGAACGCTAGACGAGTGTTTTACCACTACACGGAGACTGGTGTAGTCTATTGGCCATTTTTCTATGAAGTCGATTTAACTTCCAGACATGTATTTTTCAATAAATGTTAAATGTTTTCTGGCTAGTTATGTTATATATTATTAGAAATACGCATTCTACTTGTTAATATCATAAATTAAATTTGCAATAATTTGAGGAGAGAAGTGCGTCGACTGGATTACTGTATACAGAAGGTTGATATGCCAACAAACACTTTCCAGACAACACTATATCTTGGATAAGTCGCTCCACAACATTGACACCTGGACCGTCGACTTTCTTTTAGGCCAGATATATACTTATTTTATAATGAAAGTATATTATTTCATAGGAAATATATGTTTTCTCGTGTTCTGCATTATGCACCAACATTATAGTGAATATATATAAGTATTTCTTCATTACTTAAGTAATGCTAGGAGGCTTTGAGTAGCTTTGGGTCATTAGGTGGACAGAATTTCCAATAGATGGGGTGAGAGTCGGGAAGCAGGCTATCTCTCGCCCGGGCGAGAGTTGAAACTTATTTTAAAATTGATATATCTTTGTCTTCCAACAAGATATATTTTCTTTGGTGCACTCACAATAACGAGTATATCTCAGTCTTTTTGGAGGCATATAAGATTTTAAGCTTTATTAGCATATCTTTGTTAATTATACAATATATCGGCAAGTGCGTAGGCGTCTGCACTCCATGCCCGACAAGTTACTGACAGCCACTATAAAAACATATGTATCTTCATTTAAGCTTTATATATGTTTATGGTAAAGTATTTAAAATGAAGCTTATGTCTCTATCTTTCGTAAGACATATAAAACATATGTGCTTATTAACGAATTTACATGAAATAAGCATTATTCTGAGAGAGAGAGTTGTTCTGTTGATCAGTCTGTGTGGGGTCGGAGCTCGGCGATTATTAAAACACATATATTTTTATTAAAACTTCATATATATCTATGGTAAATTATTTAAAATGAAGCTTATATTTCTATCTTTCTTAAGACATATAAAACATTTTGTTTATTAACGAATTTATGTGAAATAAGCAGTGTTCTGAGAGAGAGAGAGTTACTCCGTCGCTCGATCTGTGCGGGATCTGAGCTCGGTGATTATAAAAATACACGTATCTTTGCTTTAAATTCAAATATGCCCATGATAAGGTATTTAAAATGAAGCTTATGTTTCTATCTTTCTTGAGACATATAAAACTTACGCTTATTAACGAATCTGCGTGAAATAAGCATTGTTTTGAGATGAATATTGCGGATTTCCAGCTCTACGAGCGATGAAAAATGCAACTTCCATACAGCTACAAATATCTTCAGTTTTACTTTAAATTTTATCCTGGAAGAGTTTTCACATATAGATCCTGTTTCTGCCGTTCTTCTAACATAAAAAGATCTTTGGTGTAATTAGTTATCAAGATGTTTTCAACAATATTATTAGGGCGTTCACCGATTCCAACATGGGTGACCCCTTTGGAAACGCAATACATGGGTTGACCCGAATGACAGACTGGTCATATTGTAACAGGGTCTGAGAAAGTTTGCTCGGGTGAGCAGCGTCACTTGACGGTTTTCATTTGCCGTCTTGCTTTGTTTTCATACTGGAATTCCAGTTCAGTAGGGTGCATACATTTAGTTTCGTCGTCGCCCTTAAATCATCAGCAACAACAACAGTGAAGTTGGTCTCCGACGTTAGTGTACAGTAACAAACTTGTGTACTGCCAACAAACTCACCCTCCAACCCGCTCTCGCATAAGGCAGCACATATATGACTTAATGCTTAAAGTTGTGGAGGCGGTCGCCTAGGGGCTATGGCTGACCAACCACGTGGTAATCGACATACAATAGAATGTGTAGAAAATGGGGGAAACAGCGGCTCACCTTGGGCTGAAGTCTTCTCCCAGGGTTGCTGAAGCAATACGACGGCTTCTAGGGGCGAGGTCCAAGGGTAGCTGGCCAATATGGGGTACTGGATAACCACAGTCCAGGGGGCGGTGCTTACAGGTCCGTTCTCGGTCAGGTGCGGTTCTCGTCTGCCCTCCTTCTCGCCTCCAGGCATGCGCGCGGGTGATGCGCAGAGGCACGGTGACGAGCTGCCGCCCGCCAATCAGGAGCGGCTAATCTAAAAAGTTACCCTGGCGGGTATTTTGAATATGGTTCCCTCCACACTCCCCCCGTCTCTATAAAGTAAGGGGTGTATTGGAAATTAATATAACTTAAACTGTTCCTTTCGTGGATGCACCCACCACTGGCTTCAATTGAGGAGTGGAATGGTGTGTATGGTAATGGAATGGAATGTCTGGTTTTAATTGAAAAAGAATATTGTCATTGGTTTATTATTTACACATGTACACTTTACTTTTTATTAAGTATAAAATTATATATTCTATTGGCATGCAAGTACTTCCTTGCATCCTTTTTATTTGTATTAAATTAAATATTATTTTCCTTTTCTATATTTATAATATTATTTATATTCACATTTTGTACAATCACACTACACTACACTTTATAATTTTTTTTTTATTTTTTTTTCTTCTTCTTTCCTTTATTGTTTCTTTTGCACAGGTTTGAACAGCCTCCGACCGTTCGCAGTAGTAACTTCTGCTAGGAGTGCGATGTCCACGTTCAACCATTGTGCAATATATATTCCCACGTCCCCGACGTATACGGGTGAGATAAGCGGGGTGGTCCCTGCCTCAATGATCACAGGTGCCGCCGACTCCAGAAGTAAGCGCTCTTTCGGTATGGCCGTCAATACATCTAATGGCCGGTTCACGGGCTGTTCCCCAACATATAGACTGAAATATGCATTTGGGAAAAAACTGAGCCATTTTCGAACTGTCTGTCCCGACCCAGCAAAACCTCGTAAATGCATGGGTTGGGCTGATCCGCAGAATTCCTGCAGGTCCATGAGCGCTGTACAGAAAATTAAATCTGAGGTATCCCCTCGTTTGGGGCGTAGGGAGATGACTAGGGGTCGCCTCACCGAGGCATATTGAAGAGCGTGCCGGAAAACGTCTTTCTGTATTTTCCTTTCTCAAAGGAACAAATACTATAAAACAAATAATATAAAATGAAGAACACTAAAATGAGACAGTAATAGCAAATAACAATTGAAAAATAAAAAAAAACAGTAAATTATTTTAATAATATAATTACACTAAAGTTAATTACTAAAGTTATACTAGAACAAAAATGAGGTAGATTATTTAGAGATACACTCAGGTACACTGAACGATAAGAGTTAAAAGTTAAAAGTAAAAAATAACAGAAAAACTATAAAACTATAAAATTGCTTAATTAATTAAATAAAAAACTATAAACTATAAAATTGCTTAGTTATGATCCTACAATTAGTATGAAATTAAGAAAGCAAAACAATTAACTCAATTAATTGCAATTAATGACTAATATAAATCAAATTACAATTAAATTTAAAGAATTTAAAGATAACAGAGTAAGATTATACATGAGTAAGATTTTACTATGATACTGAGGTAGATGCTTACATGAGAACATAGAGACTATACTGATTTGATAAGTTAGGAACTTATTTTATTTATATTTATTATATATTTGTTTTCTTCTTGGATGAGAGAGCATTATTAGACCAGCAGAGCAGAAGACAGTACCTTGAACAAGGTTAGGCAAGGCTCAGTCGCATATGAGTTAATTTCAGTATTGCCATTGGAAGGATTCTGGTTTTCAGATATGCCACAGTCATGAAAGAGGGCCAGTAGTTGTTGGTCACACTATATTTCATATATTTTTCCTGTTCTTTGCAATGATTATTCCATTCCTAGTGTAACACATTGATAACACTTGTTTTTTTTTTTTGCGAATTTGACGAGGTCTGTAGAGAAGGTATCCGCGCTGTTTGGTAAGGCACTCATTTATACAAATGTTAGTCCTTTGCTTAGCTGCTGATTGCATGAGGTCATACTTAGCAGCCGGATTAGCAAGTTTGATAAGCATTCTATTAGTGCTGCGGGGACTGTTTATATCTATCCTGACAGCTGATTTGATATCAACGTTGACATTGATCTTTGACTTAATTAGTTCACTGGCTACATCTTATCTTGAGATTATCTTGAGATGATTTCGGGGCTTTAGTGTCCCAGCGGCCTGGTCCTCAAGCAGGTCTCCACCCCCAGGAAGCAGCCCGTGACAGCTGACTAATACCCAGGTACCTATTTTACTGCTAGGTAACAGGGGCATAGGGTGAAAGAAACTCTGCCCATTGTTTCTTGCTGGCGCCCGGGATCGATCCTGGGACCACAGGATCACAAGTCCAGCGTGCTGTCCGCTCGGCCGACCGGCTCCCTCCCGACCGGCAATCAATAAGAAAACCACTAGGCTCCTGTGGATTTTCTCTGACAGAGCCAGAATGCATGGGGGGGGGGGGAGAAATTGTGAGAAACCCCGGTCTGGCTCCTGTGGAAGCCTCGGGAATCCCAGTGAGTGCAGTAGTACCCCAGGTTGCAATTATTTTGACCATGTTTGACCATGTTTGACCATGACTCTACCAGTCTCCGTGGTGTAGTGGTAAGACACTCGCCTGGCGTTCGCTATGTCATGGATTCGAATCCTAGCCGGATTCGGATTCGAACCCATGACATAGCGCCTGGCGAGCGCTATGCCATGGGTTCGTGTCCTGGCCGGGGAGGATTTACTGAGCGCAATTTCTTAACTGTAGCCTCTGTTTAACGCAACAGTAAAATGTGTACTTGGATGAAAAAACGATTCTTCGCGGCAGGGGATCGTATTCCAGGGACCTGCCCGAAACGTTACGCGTACTAGTGGCTGTACAAGAATGTAACAACTCTTGTATATATCTCAAAAAAAAAAAATGTTGTGGCATAGTCTTTTAGAGAACACCCAGGGCACAGGCCCGAATCCCTACCACGGCTCCTGTGGACTTTCTCAATAATATTAATGAAATATTGCTTGTCATCGCAAATAAAAAGTCCAAAGTAACTGCAGCAATTAATACTAAATAATTGCCAAAATCATGTTTACATTACTATATTTATATTTACATGTTTATATTACAACATTACAGCAGATCTCACCTTGTTGTTCATCTGGTAGATCAGCAGAGTTAATTATCAGGGAGTCGTAATGTTGCTGTTGCTCTAGGTCGTCTTCAGAGGCCGCCTGGTGCATCTGGAGGAGAATTATTTGCTTTTCCAGTTTTTGAAGGATGTCGGTTTATCCTGGTTGGGTTCCCTCGGTCATAATATTGGTTATTTGTAAAAAATTGTAAAAAATTAGATTCTTGAGTGCCAAAACTAAAAATTCTTGTTTTCCGCTGAACGGTTGTGTGTTAGCCTAGGGTCCAGCTCATCTAGCAAAGGATTTATTTTTACTGACTGGACACCTAGTTGGATCTCTTCACGATTGAGGTAAGTGTGGCCTTGTGTTAGGGGCCGTGCAAATTTTTGTTTTTTCCAATTTTTATTTTTTTAATTTTTTCTTTGGCTAGGAGGTAAATTAATGAGTGATGGAGGCTAAAATGCAGGAACTGGCAAAGGATCCTTCAGTGTTAGAGATTAAGAAGCTCACCAAAGCAAATTTAGTATTCTTAGGCAAGGAATTTGGTCTCGAGTTAAACGAAATTGATAAAAAGTGGACCTTCGTGAATTAAATTTTACAGCATTGTATAGACCAAGAACAAGTGCCAAGTGATACAATTTTATGCGAGCCCAGTTCAGGGGAAAGTGTAGCTAGTAGAAATACAGAGTTAGAATTAACACTATCCAAGTTAAGACTGGCAGAGCAAGAGGCCAGAGTAGCAGAACAAAATGCTTAAGTGGAAGAGCAAAGGCATGAAAATGAGGCGGCAAGAATAGTACCACCTACTGGCGACTCAAACCTCAGGTTGTCTGATAAAAAACATAACTTACCTGAATTTTCAGATTCAGACCCTAAAAGATTTTTCAACCATTTTCAGAGACTAGCCATGTCCATGAACTGGCCAAGGGAAGACTGGGTGAAAATCTTGCAGGGGCGGCTTAGGGGAAAGCACAAGATATTTTTATAAACATGCCTGATGACGAGAGTTTTGAATATGATAAAGTCAGGGAGCGAATTTTAAGGGCATATGAAATTACTCCTGAAGCTCACCGCCAAGCTTATCACAACCTTAGGCCTACTCACAACCAACCGCTCACTGAATTTGCTAATGATCAAATTAGATTGTTTGATAAATGGATTCGCTCGGCGAAAGTCGAAACATACGAGGCACTAAAGAATGTAGTTTTAATCTAAATGATCTCCGGCAACACACTGGAAGAGATCTCCAGCAACACACTTAGAGAGGTCTCCAGCAAAACATTGGCTGACGTCTCCAGCAACACACTGGCAGGGGTCTCCAGCAACAAACATGCAGAGGTCTCCAGCAACACTCTGGCAGAGGTCTCCAGCAACACGTTGGCAGAGGTCTCCAGCAACACGGTGGCAGTGGTATCCAGCAACACACTGGCAGAGATCTCCAGCAACACACTGGAAGAGATCTCCAGCAAAACGCTGCCAGGGGTCTCCAGCAACACACTTGCAGAGGTGTCCAGAAACACACTGGCAGAGGTCTCCAGCTATACACTTGCCGAGGTCTCTAGCAACACACTGGCTGAGGTCTCCAGCAACACACTGTCAAAGGTGTCTTTCAACGCACTGGCAGAGGTCTCCAGCAACACACTGTCAGAGATATCCAGCAACACACTAGCAGAGGTCTCCAGCAACACACTGGCAGTGGTCTCCAGCAACACACTGCCAGTGGTCTCCAGCCCCACACTTACAGAGATCACCAGCAATACACTTGCAGAGATCTCCAGCAACACACTGGCAGTGATCTCCAGAAACACACTGGCAGAGGTATCCAGCAACACACTGGCAAACGTCTCCAGCAACTCCCTGGCAGAGGTCTCCAGCAACACACTGAGAGAGGTCTCCAGCTATACACTGGCCGAGGTCTCCAGCAACACACCGGCAGGGGTCACCAACAAAACACTGGCAGGGGGTCTCCAGCAACACGCTGGCAGGGGTCACCAGCAACACACTGGCAAAGGTCTCCAACAACACTCCGGCAAGCGACTCCAGCAACACACTGGAAGGGGTCTCCAGCAACACACTGGCAGAGGTCTCCAGCAACACACTGGCCTTGGTCACCAGGAACACACTGGCTGAGGTATTTAGCAACACACTGGCAGAGGTCTCCAGCAACACACTGAGAGAGGTCTCCAGCTATACACTGGCCGAAGTCTCCAGCAACACACTGGCAGGGGTCACCAACAACATACTGGCAGGGGTCTCCAGCAACACGCTGGCAGGGGTCTCCAGCAACACACTGCCAGACGTCTCCAGCCCCACACTTACAGAGATCTCCAGCAACACACTTGCAAAGATCTCCAGCAACACATTTGCCGAAGTCACCAGGAACACACTGGATGAGGTATTTAGCAACAAACTGGCTGAGGTATTTAGCAACACACTGGCAGAGGTTTCCAGCAACACACTGGCAGAGGTCTCCAGCAACACACTGGCCGAGGTCACCAGGAACACACTGGCTGAGGTATTTAGCAACACACTGGCAGAGGTCTCCAGCAACACGCTGGCAGAAGTCTCCAGCAACACACTGGCAGAGGTCTCCAACAACACTCCAGCAGGTGTCTCCAGCAACACACTGGAAGGGGTCTCCAGACACACTGGCAGAGGTCCCTAGCAACACGCTAGCAGTGGTCTCCAGCAACACACTGGAAAAGATCTCTAGCAAAAAGCTGGCAGTGGTATCCTGCAACACACTGGCAGAGATCTCCAGCAACACACTGGAAGAGATCTCCAGCAACACACTGGAAGATATCTCCAGCAACACACTGGAGGAAGTCACCAGGAACACACTGGCAGAGGTCTCCA